TACATTTTCCCTTTGTTAGCAGCATAAAAAATGGTAATGCAACTTAAAAATGATGGCATCTTACAAATGCTGAAATTCAGTAGGCTGAATCTGATCTCACCACTTCCGCCCTGGTCTGAGGTGCCGGTACAGTCACCCAGCTTTCACAAAAGTCTAAATGATCTCCTTGCTGATATTCCTCCTCCAGTCTGCAGTAGTGGAGGTGAAAAAAGCAAGCTGCAGTAAGGAGGTAAGGGTACATCTTGCCATTGGTACTTCCTGTGTGACCTTGGGTAAATCACTTAACCACTCTGTGCCTAGGTATTCCCCCCTGTAACATGGGAATAATGATAATAATGCCTACTTTTTGGACTGTCATAAGAATAAGTGAATTAATATATGTAAAACTCTTAAAACAGCCTGGCATATCATAAGCCCAACAGCCAGAGTGGTACTTTTTAAAGATAAATCAGATCATGTCATTCCCAAGGAAGGAAGAAAGGGTCTCTTAAGGCTTCCCATCACACTTAAAATCTAAATTCCTTACCACAGCCTGTGTGCTCCAAGATGCAGCTCTCCTCCACTCATGTCTCATTTCCTGCCACTCGCCCAGCTCTCTGGCAGCAATGGCCTCCCTGAGGTGACCAGCATACTACAAGGAGGCTCAGGAACCAAGGCTTTCACCTAAGAGGTCCCTGTGCCTGAGAGGCTGCTGCTGCCGCGACCTCAGCCCAGCTCGCTCCATCCTCATCACCTATTTGACCTTCTCTCACCTACCCTGCCTCATTTGCCCTTCGAAGCAGTCAGGATACCAGATGCTTGTTTACTGCTCTTCTCCTTCCCAAGAAAATGAACTGCTCGAGGGCAGGAACTCTCCTCATCAGGCTCATCCTGAATCTCCAATACCTAGAACAGTACCTGGGCCAGGATGCATGGGTGAATGCCTGTTGATTCAATAAGCAAATGAAATAGAACCAGGTTCCAAAATCACCAAACTAGAAGCAAGTAGAGCTTCCATTTCACTGTACTTCCAATAAAAATAAAAGGTATCTCAGAGTTATTTTCACTCCCCTTCCTGTTCCATCACAAAGACGTTAAACCTAAAACCAAAGTCATTTTTCTTTGTATATGCCTAGGACATCTTATAGATATACAGGTGGAGAAGTGCAGCAAGCAGTACTAATCAAACTACAAAAAAAAAAAAAAAACAGTGATAATTTGATATTAATGGTCCTAGCCCAACAGTTGCCAAGCTATGGATGAAGCAAAACTCTGCAAATGGAAGGTGCAGTAAGACCCTGCCACGAAAACCTCTGTGGGCTACCGTGCTGTCCCTGTCCACACCCGAGATAAAAAGTTGTCGCCTTGGAAAGAAAAGTCACTCAAGGAATAAGGAAGAAATCTTAATGACTTCACTGGACAATTTTTAATTTTCCTATTTGCTTTTCCTACCTCGCGTATTATGAATATACAATATAATATAGGTTTTTTTTTTTTAACACTACCATTTCCAGCACACCAAATTACAGATTTGGAAATTCCTATTTTAGAAAATTGACACAGAAAACCATTGAGTTTTCTAATAAAATTAGACTTCTCTGAGCTTTTTGGTTTCAAACTAAGCTTGATAACGTTGCTTAACTTTTTTATAGGCTGGTAAATGTGTAACTTCATCTATTACTCTCCAAAGTTAACTACCTCCTATCTATTTAAATTATACTACTTGATCACAGAGCTAATCACAGCATTCAAGGGAATAAAACCCAGTTCTTAAGTAAAACATACAGCTAATAAATTTTGATAATAAATAATTAGTAGGCTTTGCTTGTACCCATGTGTAAGAATATCCACTGTAGCAATATTTGTCATATGTTAAAACATATACAACTGTGTACATACTTTGACTCTTGCTGGGACAATACACAACTGGGTGCAGCCTTTGAACCAAGTGCCCAGGGATGGAGTGGAATGAGGTTTTACCTTTCTGTAGGTATTGCGTGCATGCTGATCTTTTTAAACCTATCAATACAAATCTACTGCTTTATGCCAGAGCATTTTTTATCTCTACCTATCTTGCTAAGTACTGCATCTCCTAGGGCCTAAAACAGGGAGGGCCTAGCACGTAACAAGCCACAGACAAGTATTTGTCAAATGAATTAAGTTTGTTTTATGCATTCACTGGACAAATAGAAGTTAAAAAAAATTCTTATTCCAAAAATCTAAAATAATTCAAATACTTTACAACACATAAATTCACAAGGAAGTGAAATTAGCCTCTGAGCCACGATGTTTTTTGTGGATGATGTTATCACTTCATAGCTAATCCTTCCCCCTTGGCCTCCCTGCATGAACACATCACACCAGAGACACATGTGTCATCAATTTCTCAGAGCTGGATCGATTCTCTTTAAGCCCCTGCCCCTGCCCCTGCAGGAGGGCCTCCTTTTTTCCTTTCCAACTATAGCTTCAAATTTGATGTAGATGTAGTGGGATATACCCAGTCTTAGGAACCCTCAGACATCTAACAGGGCATCACTCACAGACAATGCATTCCTTTCAAAGCTTGTGTGAGTTCATCCTCTCCACCACAGGCAAGATATAGGCACCCAGCTCAGCCTGTCTCATCAAATATTTATCAAGCCCCTGTTGTGGCTGTCCATGCATAGTGGACCCTGCCCTCTGGAGCAACCGCGCAATGAGAGACAGTTAATTCTCTTATCCAAGAACGAACTGTATCAGCCAACCTTTTACCCTTTCTTCCTTCTCTCTTTCCCCTCTGGGAAACCCTCAGCAGGCAAAAAGGATACAGCAGTCTCAATCCCAAGGAAAAGATGGTCATCAAAAAACACTTAGTTTTTCTATCTCCTAGGAACAACTGCTCTTAAGACAGCCTAGTGTTTTGGAAAATGCAGCTCTGGGTGTCACCTTTCGAAACAATAAAACATACGGCTAAATTTAAGAGGAAACAAAGAGGATTAAATACATATTTGTATTCTCAATAAAAAAAACTACGGTTCTATCATCTTAATCACGGAACTAAACGTAAAGAAACAAGTTTGATATCATGCCACTTTTCGTTATACTTCGAGAATGGAATGCAATAATGGTTAGTGTAAGAAGGAAATAAAATGCCTATATCAGAAGTAACAGCCCAAACCTGCTACCCAAAAATATTAACTGCGAACTAAACACCACGGTGCAGATCTCCGACATAGAAATCTGGACAGGAACACATTTTAGGTTAGGTTCTCCAGCGCGTAAACTGGGACTCCAACACGTTTCAGCGTCCACAGTCCAATATGACACCTTCCCTCGCACCCATCCACCACGCAGTAATTTTCCTTCTCCTCATGTGAACACGTCAAAAGTCACCTCGGGCCCCCAACTGCCCCAGATTGCTCCCGATCGCTGCAGACGCCCGGCACCCGCAGGAACTTCCCCGCCCCGGGCCGCCCGCGGCTCAGAGCATCCCGCGCGGACACTGCGCCCTCGGGAGGAGACGCAGGACCGTCCAGGGCGCAGCCTCTTCCCCAGCGCAGTCTCCACGCCCGGGGCACAGCGTCCCCTCCTCACAAGGCAGCCTCCCCTGCCCGGGCCCAGCCTCATCCCGGGGGCAGCCTGGCGTCCCCCCCGCGCAGCGTCCCATGCCGGGCGCAACGTCTCCCCAGGGACATCGCCTCCCGTCCCCGGGCGCAGCCTCCCGTCCCCCAGCGCAGCCTTGTACCCGGGGCAGCCTCCCGTCCCCGGGGCAGCCTCCGATCTCCGGGGCACACCGTCCCCTCCCCAAAACGCAGCCTCGGTCCCCAGGGCGCAGCCTCGTCCGGACGCACCTGCCCTCCCCGCGGCGCGGCGCATCCCACGCGGACTCCGCGCCCTCGGGAGGGGACGCGGGGCCGCCCGGGGCGCAGCCTCCTCCGGGGGCCGAGCGCCGGAGCAGACGGGCGCCCCGGGAGGGTGGATGCGAGGCGGTGCCGGGGCAGCCTCGCCTCCCCACAGGCGCCCTCCACTCCCGGGACGGCCCGCAGCCCCGTCCCCGCCGCCAGCCCCTGCCCGGCGCTTACATAAACGCCGCCGCCGCGGGGTCCGGAGCCCGCGCCCGCCCGAGCCGCCGCGGCCCCGCGCCGCCCTCACCTCAGCCGCAGCCGCGCCGCGCCTGGTCCTCCGCACGCGCGCCCCAGGCTCCGCCGCAGTCCCGCGCCGGGGCGGCGTTCCTCCTCGTCGGCTGTGCCGCGCGCTGCGCGTGCGGTGGCCGTAGCCCTCCGCGGCCCGGGCCCCGGCAGCGGACCCTGGCGCCTGGGCAGCCGCTGCCGCGCCGCCAAACGGCCGCTCCTCAGCCTCAGCCCCTCAGCCCGGGCCCAGCCGGCGGCTCCCCTCCCGCCCGCCCGCCGCCGCCGCAGCGCGGCGCACGCCGAGGGGCGGGGCCGGCGCCGGCGCAGCGACGCCGGACGTGCGCGCGCTCGCGCGTCCCTGTCTGTGGTAGGCAGCCGGGGCCGTGGCGTCTCCCCTCACGACCACCTGCGGCGGACGGGCGCTGGGCCGGTGAGGCTGGAGCGCGGCCGGAGCTGAGAGACCGCAGCTGGGCGGCACCGGAGCGTGGGGCGGGGGCGCGGGACCGGCCTGGCGTCGCGGCGCCGCCCGCCCGAGCACCGCTGAGGAGACCCTACCCGCCTTCGTGTCCTCCTCTGGGTGCGCGGCTGCTGCGTTTTGGGGACGGGGTCTCAGTGTCGCCCAGGCTGGAGCGCGGTGGCCCGATCTTGGCTCACTGCAGCCTCGGCCTCCCGAGCTCACGCGATCCTGCCGCCTCAGCCTCCCTGGTAGCTAGGACCGCAGGCGCCCCGCGCCCGGCGATTGGCATTTGCGTTTTGCGGAGGTGGCGTCTCGCGGTGTTGCCCAGGCTCCCGGCTCCCGGGCCCACGCGCTCCTCCCTGCAGCGGGCGCCGCCCCGCCAGGCCCCCGCCGAGCCGCCCCTGCTTCCCCCGCTCCCAGAGTTGTCTGGGACGCGCGGGGCCCGCCCCGCATTGGGTCAGGGCTGGGGGCCGGCGGGGGTCGCGGCTGTCCCGCTGGCTCCCTCTCCCCGCCAGTCATCCTCACTGTAGACTCGGGGAGAACCGAGTCGCGGCCCAGGACCCCGGACGCGGTTCCCTCCGTGTCCCATTTAGTCCGCACTGACACTAGCAGCTGCTCCCAATTACCAATGTTTAGGTGATGGTGGTTTTGTTTGATTTTTTTGTTATTTTAGGTTGATAGTAAAAGCATTTTAAAGCTTTTTTTTTTTTTTTTTTTTTTTTACAGCATATGCAATAGACTTACTCCTCGATTTATCTATATTTACTGACTGTTCCACAGTTATACCAAGAAATGTTTACACAGATGATGATAAGCATATGTAGAGATGCAACGTTTTCACAGACCAGAATAACCAGCTCCAGGCTGCAGTTCTCTACACGAAGATAAAGTTTGTTGGGAAACTCCTGACTGCGGCGACCTGAGCCCAGAGGAGCAGCCGGGGGCAGAGGAGCAGCCGGGGGCGGTGGGCAGAGCCGGGTGTGGACAAGCGGGTGGGTCCTGCACCTGGGTGGGGGAAGCAGCAGGCTCCAGGGTCAAGTTGAGGTTGTGCTAGCCCTGGCTTCCAGACCTCAGGCGGCCCACTCTGCCCTCGGCCTGTTTCCTCTCTTGTAAAGTGGGGAGTAAGAGACCATCACAAGCCAGGGATGAAGTGGCACAAACTGTGATCTCAGCCACTCTGGAAGCTGGGTCGTAGGGGTGGAGGGGTCACTTGTGTCTCAGAGCTGGAGCTGTGGTGTGCGAGGCCCGCACCTGTAAATGGCCACTGCACTCCAGCCTGGGCAACACTGAGACCCTGGCTCTGAAAAACAACAAAACTTAAAAGATGAACACAGATGAAGTATGGGAGCCTGGTATGTGGTAAGCACTCCACAGGTGTCAGCCGCCAGCCCGCAGTCCAGGACAGGTCAGGGGGAGACCCGCAGTCTGCGACAGGCTGCCGGCTTCCATCACTGCCTGATGGAAAACAAGCCTGTCTTTGGGGCCAACCAGCTAACAAGTGAGCCCTTCACCCCTAGGCGAAGCACCCAAAGGGGCAACCATGGACCACTGAATAAAAAGACTCCTGGGACGCCTTCTCCGGACACATTCTTAGTAAAGAGATATGTGGATGAGGATGTTGTGTGTATTTCTGTGTAACAGGCCACCCCAAACCTCAGAGGGCGGAAACCTCTCTTCACTGCTCATGACCCTGTGGGCCTGCAGCTTGAGCCAGTTCAACTGGGACAGCTTGCCTCGGCTCCATAGGGTGTCTGCTGGACCCACTTATGGGCAGAGGCCCCCCAGCAGATCCGGGCCACGTGTCACCCACCCACCGCAGGCTGGTCAGGCCTCCCTCCCATGGTGGCTGGGCTCCATCGGCAGCAAGAGAAAGCAAATCTCCATGGTGCTTCCCTCCATCTCCCCAGGAGAAGCAGGTGAGATGGCCAGGGCCTGAGTGGATGTGAGCGACTGTGCAGGGGACAGGCACGGGAAGCATGGTTCATCAGGACGGTCACTGCAACAGTCTTCCACAGGCCTTCGCTGAGATGCAGGTTGGTGTAGGGAACACAAGGGAACTCACCAGAATGGAGGCTGCTTATGCAAGTTTCAGCTTGTTCTTTTTCTCCCTCCAGAGCATAGGAGAGCAGATGGCGGCCAAGGCCGGGACCCTCTGCTGCTCCCACGGGCCTCTCAGGCAGCTCTGCAGGACCAGCCAGCAGCCTCTGATTCTCCCTTCCTATTCCATGGCCTCAGATGCCATCCTTTCCACAGAGACAGTTTCTATCGTGACACTCTCCCTGACTTGGAAGAATGGCACTCAGAACATTGCCCTTGGTGCTGATGTCAGGGGTGAAAGCAGTTTCCAGTCGCCTGGGGCCAGGACACGGCATTCCCAGCTGTTGTGGAGCATGAAGCACCAGGATGCCCATTTGGGTGCCTGTTGAGATCAGGCTCTTTGAGAAGGAATCCTGTGGTCGCCTGAGGAGGCCCGAAGAAATTTCGAGGACATCTCAGCCATCCGTCCCCTGTTCACTGTGGAGGTCGAACACCAAGGTTCCTGGAGGGGGACCCTGGGTCTCCACAGAAGTGCTGGCAACCATCTACTTCCCGGCCTTCCGTGCCTGCCCCACCTCTGTTCTGTTGTTTACCGTCTCCTTTGTGGGAATTATGGAATAAACGATCACTTTGGTGTCCTGGAAAATAAACCTGATGCTGGAGGACTTGAGTGTAGGAATCCCGCTGGGCTTCCTCTGTCTGCCCCATGAGTTAGGCTTTGCATAAGCATGTGAGACATCAACCGCTATGAAATGTGGTCTACACAGCACCAAAAAATCCATTTCACCACATTCTCCCTTCAGTGCAGTTAAATGGCATGACCTTGTGACTGCCCCCCACGAGAAGAATTAAAAATTACACCGGCCCTGCCAAAGCCTACAGGACACAGTGGCACAAAATGATTTCCACGATCTTAGGATATAGACCCAGGCCGACTCGACAGATTAAGTGGATTTCAAACTGTGGTCTCAAGCCTTCTGGGAACTGCCAGAAAGGAGGGGAAGGTGCCGAGTGGCCCAGCTGCCCAGCCTGTTCACACACTGGGCTTTCCAAAAGGAGGAGAAGGCGCCAGCCTCAGAGTGGCCCAGCTGCCCAGCCTCTTCACACACTGGGCTTTCAGTTGAAGAGAGTGTTCAAAGCTTACACATGTAAATGCCACTGATCTGTGAACCCCCTTCCTGTCATGCCCAGGGACTGGCAGACTGTGGCTAGAAGGGTGGGACCAGAGGGGTGGGTCACGTGACCTGCACACGGATGTGCTGGCCTCCCTGGGCCTCGGTGGCCAGGACAGCCTCCCTTTCCCTTTCCAGCCACACAGGGCAATCCGTGTGGATTTCTGTCTCCCCAGTTACAGAGTGTGCTGCCAACCTGCTCTGCTGAGACTGGCCTGGTCTTGGTCCTGGTGTCCTAGGGCTGATGACTGACCACAGCCTTTGTGCCTTTGAAGCCCATTTGACTATAGTCCTTGTGTACAACTGAAAATGAAGCTTTAAACAATCTTGCTTTGTTTTATTTAATTCTGCCCAATCTATTTGAGAAAGGACACTCACAGGTACTTTTTCGATTGTAGCCTAAAGTGGATTATTGATTTCCTTGTTTCTCAAACATCAGGAGGAGCATAAAACTGCTAATAAGAGGTGACCAATATTTGGTGATACCATGATTTCAGACATATTAATTTTGCCCTATATTTTAAAAATAAAATAAAAAGACATGAGACTGGAGTAGCAAAACCAGATGGTGCCAACCCATTCGGTCAACAGCTGCCATGGTGGTGGAAACCGTGTGTGAGGCCCGACCAGCTGACAATGTGCCACCGTCTCTGGGACAACTCCCAGCTCCCACAGTGATGCAGCAGGAGCAGTCTGTCTGTGCTCTGTGACAGGCACACAGCCCCCCACCCCACCCCCTGACTCCAGGACCTCAAGCGGATTCTGACTCCCAGGATGGCCCTGGGCACTTAGAGCTGGCATTGAGACAATTGTGAGTCTCTCTTTGTGCCTAGGCCTGAAAGGTTTAAATCCAGCACAGTTAGGATGGTCTCCATCACTTGTCAGCCTAAAGAGAGAAAACGGTTAGACACACAGGGGCAGGCGAGAGAGGACAATCTGATGGCCTTTCAGCGCCGCAGGCACTGTCCTGTGCATGGGTCAACATGTGGCCAGGAAGATGTCTTTGCTTCAGGGCATTCATGTTCTAGTGGGGAGATGGCATCATGGAGCGAGGCAGCTGTGATACTGGGTTCACGGTTCTAGCGGTTTGGTGATGGGGTCAGGGAACAGCGCAGTGTGGATAACTGGATTCCATTCTGTGGTTGTGATGGGTCACGGAGCAGCGCAGTGTGATAACTGGGCATCGTGTTCTAGTGGGGAGATGGGTCACGGAGCAGCGAGCAGCGTGGTGATTAACCTGGGCATTCGTGTTCTAGTGGGGAGATGCTCGACGGAGCAGCGCAGTGTAGATAACTGGGCATTCGTGTTCTAGTGGGGAGATGGCGTCACGGAGCAGCGCAGTGTGATAACTGGGCATTCGTGTTCTAGTGGGGAGATGGCATCAGGGAGCAGCGCAGTGTATTAATTGGGACACCATCCAGGGCAGGAAGAGAGGTGTGACAGTCAGTGCGGACCTAGCTGTGCCATGCAGCAGCGGCCAAGTTGTTTGGCCTGTCTGAGCCTGTTCTACATCCAGAAGAGGGAGACAATGGGTGGAAAGGCTCCAGTGGTGACGTACAAATGCAAGCTCCTAATGGAGAGGCATGTGAACAGTTGCAGGAGTCCAGGGCGCTGCAGCCGCACCGCTCAGGTGTGTCGGAGCAAGCTGCAGGAAGCTACGCTGAGCCTTGGGGATGAGAAGGCAATGGCGGCAGGAGTGCCCGTGGCAGAGGAAAAAGCACTTCCATGGCACGTGAAGTTGGAGAAGAGAGGAGGTTTCTGCCACCATTGGTCAGAAGAGTCCTCCTGATTGGGCCACTTTGCACTCTGTAGAGACCAGGCAAAGGGAATGTGCTGCGTGGTTAAATCAGAGGTGGGCAGGTTGAGCCTGGGCCCAGTGGTGTCCAGTCAGCAGTTAAGAATGAATATTAAACATGTAAAGTGTTGGGGTGGGTGGGGAGTTATGAAAAATAGATGCAGTGCGCTTCTGTGGCTGGCAGAGCCATAGATCTTTGCCATCTGGCCCTTGACAGAGAAAGGCAATCCCTGGTTTAGCCAAATAGGGTCTAGCTCTGGAACTGGGAGTTAGAGCAGCTGCCATCAAAGTGCATAGACTGTCTGGAGGTGGGAGAAACAACCCAAATCAGCACCACAGGTGAAGGGATGGGGGCTCTGACGTACTCGGTGGTGTCTGTCTAGAGCTCAGGCATGCCTGCAGCTTCCGTGCAGAAGACTTCCATCAGATGTTGACAGTGGAATTGGAAAGAGTTAAGAGGCTTTTGGAATCAAACTCAACAGGACTTAGTGATGGAGTCACTAGAGGGGTCTGGGGAGGGGAAGCATCAGGGCTTACCCAGGATCCTGGCTTGCACATATCGGTGGGATCAGTGGGTGATGGTGCTCTAGGATGACACGGGGGGTGGGGAGAAGAAACCAGGCATTCCTTTTGGGTGCGTTAAGTTTGCAATGCCTACAGGATGTCTGAGTGGCTGTGTTAGGAAGACAGCTGCGTACGAAAGACTGATGTCCGGAGAGGAGAGCCGTGCTGGAGATGGACACTTGAAACCCTTGAAAATGGAAGACGTCACCGATCCCTTAAAGAGAGGGTGGAGAAAGGAAAGAAGGGAACCTGGCACCAGACCTGAAGAGCCTCAGCCTGGCATTAGAGGTGAGCATAGAAAGAGAAGGGGGCGTGGGAGGCAGGAAGGCCCATCGAGGCAGGAGAGAAAAGGCAGAAGCGTGTTTCTCTGGAGGCCAAGGCAGGGAGACTGCTTGAGGCCAGGAGTTGGAGGCTTCAGTGAGCTAATACCTCACACAGCTTGTATTCTTTTGTGTCTCGATTATTTCACTTGATCTTGGATAAAGAGTGGAAAGGGAGACATAAATATGGTTATGTACGCAGATAATTTTAAATCTACAGCCGAAGTCTTAGATCTAATTAAAATTCAGCAAGATTACTGAGTATAAAATTGACACCCATGCACACACCCCCAAAATGATTTCTATGTATCAGCAGCAAACAACATGTAATTTGGAAGATGATTCTGTTTACAACAGTAACAAAAGTGTGAACTAAAAATAAATCAAAAAGAAGTACATGATCCTTAAGGAGAAATTCATTTTTAAAAATTATTAAAAGAGCAGGCAAATATAGAGACACACCAAACACCTCAAATTCTTCGTGGGATGAGTATAAATATATAAATCAAACAAAATTAGCAGCTTCACCAACTTCTTTTGAATGATACTAGATTTTTAAAATAAATCAGATGCAAAAACAGTATGGTTCCTGGTGACATACTACTCTAAAATAATGAACTAGAGCTAGGAAAAGGAGATTTTTTTTTTCGATTTTGCTGAGTTATGTCTTAATTATTATGTTAGCAGTCTTTCCTGAGAAGCTAAAAGGTAATTAGCAACTGAAGCCAGGCAGGAGGCGGAGGAGGGAGGGCGTGGGCAGGCCGTGCTCTCTGCTGAATCTCCAGGAGCTGTTCTGGTGGGGATGGAGGCTGCAGGCTGAGCCTAAGTGCAGTTGGGTTAGTGACAAATTAGATGGCTCATGTGGTTATTTAAAGCCTTCTCTCTAGGGAACTTTCAACTACCATATATTCAAGATCTTGCAGTTGATAGTTTTAAACTGGAATCTCAGGGACTCGGGCTGACTGTTACCTATACAAGTCGCTAAGGGATACAGCAGCTGTGAGCGGTGGTGTGAAAAATGGCCATCATTGCGTATTTTCAAACCTTTTTTAAGTATAATGCATACACCAAAAAGTATCCATGTCGTAAGTGTACATCTCAACACGTTAGCCCAAAGTGGACACAGCTGTGAAACCTCCACCAGGGCAAGCAGCGGAACGTGACCGACCCGGAGTGTCCGGCATGCTCCTCCGCAGCCAAGGCTGCCTCTGGGCCTTAAAGATAACCTCTACCCTGACTCCCACCTCCGCAGATTGGTTACGCCTGTTTTTGCTTCACATGAGCGACATCACACGGCATGTATTCTTTCGTGTCTTGATTCTTTCACTTGATGCTGTGATCATGAGCTCCATCAACCTGTGCCTCTGTGAACCTTCTCATACTCCTCTCTTAGTGCACGTGTGTATATGTTTCTGTTGGGTTGTGTACCAGGTCGCAGGAAACACATAGGTCCCACTCTAGAGGGCACACTGATTTACCAAAGTGTTGAGCCACTTTATACTCCTACCAGCAAGCGAGGAGCTTTCCAGCTGCTTCTTGTCCACATCAACAGTTGATGTTGACACTTTGGCCACCCTGGAGGGTGGTGGTGGTTTCTCGTGGTGGCTTTAATCTGTAGTTCACTAATGACCAGTGAGGTTGAGCATCTTTACATGTTCTTATTTTCCACAGGCACATCCTTTCTGGTGAAGAAGCCACAAGTTTTCTTTATTATTTATTTGTAGAAGTTATTTATATATTCCAGACCCAAACTCTTGGCAGATATATGTGTTGCAAGTACCTTCTCTCACCCTGTGTCTTGCATTTCCATAATCACAGTGGAGTCTTTTGTTATACAGGAGTTCTTAATTTCAATGTGATCCAATTTATCTACCTTTTTTCTACGGTTAGGGTTTTTTTGGTGTCCAGTTTAGAAAACTCAGCTACTCCATGGTCATGAAGGAATGCTTCTGTTATCTTTTGGAAGGTTTATTGTTTCAATTTTCAAATTTAAAGGACAATTCACCAGGAATTGTTTTTCTGTACAGTGTGAGGTAGGGGTTCAGAGTCAGTCCATCAGTGTTGTCTGTGTTTGATGTCCAGTTGACCTAGCACTGTTTACTGACATGATTTCCCTTCTCCCTGCTGCTCTGCTGCAGTAGCTTTGTTGTGAATTAAGCATCCATATAGGCATGGGTTGTTGTTTTTTCTGAACTATTTTGTTAGGTGCTGAGGACTGGCCTTGAACTGCTATTTCCTGTCCTAATTACTGAAACTTTCTTAAGAGTCTTCTTTTGACACCATAGAATCACCTTGCAGTTTTTTTGTTTTTCAAAATTTTCTTGGTTATACTTGGTATTTTGCGTTTCCATTTAAATCTTTCAATTAGCTTATCAGTTTCCTCAAAATATTCTGCTAGAATTTTTATTAGACTTGCATTGAAGCTATAGATCATTTGGTGAGAATGGATATTCTTACAATATTGAGTGCTCCAATTCATGTTTAGCCATACATTGATTTAAATATTCTCCAATTGTTCTCATTATCTTCTAGCCTTCTGTGTAGATATTACACACTTAGTCCATTAGATTTATTCCCAGACATTTGGTGCATTGGATGATCAATTTAAAATGATCCCTATTTTTATTTTGTAACCACTGGTTTCTGGTTTATTTAGAATGCAATTGATCTTTGTGTATTGATCTCGTACCAGCAGTCTTTCGAGATTCACTTAATAATTTCAATAGTTGTCTGTAGATTCTATTGGGTTTCTTACATACGTATCATTTTGTTTGTGAATAATCACTTTTTCATTTTTTCCTTTCCAGTCATTTTATCCTTTATTGCTTTCTTCTTGGCTTACCTCATTGGTTGCTGCTGAAAAGAAGTGTTAGTGGTGAGCATCCTTATTTTTTTCCTGACCTCAGGGGGGACACTTTCAATATTTCACCAGTAAGTGTGAGATCTGTGGTAGGATTTTTAAATATAGATCCCCGCAATGAGATCAAGGAAGCTCCCTTCTATCTCTTCTTTGCTAAGAGTTTCTTTTCCTGAATGCATGCTGAGTTGTATCACATTCTTTCTTCTGCATTTATTGAGATGATAGTATGATTTTTCTGCTTCATTATATTAATACGGTGAATTAAGTTGATTAAAGTTTAAATGTTATACCAAACTTGCATTTCTGGAAAAAGCCCAACTTAGAAAAAGCCCAGGAGATACCCCAGGATCCTTCTAGCAAATCCCCCTCTCTGCTTGCCCACCCACCTTGCTTCAAGGACAAGGAGTGGAAGAAATAAGGAAAATGGTGAAGAAGCCCAGGTCTCAGGGCTCCACCTGGCCATGCTGTGGCCTAAGGCATGTGGCAGGGGGGACTTTTGTGACTTGGCTGGGGGTGGTGAGGGGCTGCTGTGGCCTAGTTGGTGGGGAGTCTGTGGCCTGGGTACGGGGGCATTGCTGACTACTGTGGCCTGGTCCCCCTCCCCAACTGCATCCTAGCTGTGGGGGGCTGCTGTGGCCTGGCCCTGCCTAGCAGATGAGAGGCTCCAGGCCTCGTTTTCTATTGAGTGCATGGAGACAGCTCTGGTTGATGTGAGACCAGGTCACTTACTGGACATGGGTCCCTTCCTTGGGCTTCAGTCTCCTCATCGGAGAGGCTATCTGTAAAGTCAGGAGTCAACAAAATGTCCCTCGGGCAAACTGTGTAAAAAGAAAGTATAAACTAAACATTAAATATCCCGTCAGCCACAGAAATGTGAGGCACTGTTCCCGCCTGCACTGAGGTTCAGAGACTCGCCCTTCCCCAGCACCATCCACTGTAGGGTGCGGTGCTCAGTGTTTGCCAGCAGCCTAGGGTCTTCAAGGGGAAAAGTCTCTCTGCCGTCCTATGCTGGCCACCATGGGGACTTGTGATGGAGCTACTCATCAGTTCTTCGGCCAGTCTCTTTTCAGGGGGAAGGGTCTCCCATCTGTCATCAATTCCTCAGGGGATGGAGGGGAGGGAGGGCACATCTGGAGGGGTGCAACCCCAGATGGCCCCACGAGAACCAGGAGGGGCCCTGGTGGCAGCAGGAGTTCAGGCCCAGGAACAGGTCCCAGGCTCCCTCTTGTCCCAGCTCCTTCCCAGACCTCCTGGGAACACAGCACACATTCCAGAGAGATGAGAGCAGTCATAGTCTGTGCGGGTTTGGTTGAATGGCATACAATATAAGCCCACCTATTTTTGCTTTCTAGAATTCCACTTCTATTTTTGGTGGAATATGAAAGCTTTGACTATTTCCCAAAGTGGAAAAACACATATTTTTCCTTGACTGTTTGGTAATATCTTTGTTGCTCATTAAATAAGTGCATTCAGTCTGCATGGGTGCTCGGTGAAGCCCCTTCCCGATCCCCTGAGCAGGAGCTGACTGTGTGAACCACACACACATCCTTTCTCAAGCCCTCCTGCATTTTATTTGTTAAAGCTTCAGCACTTCACACATATCCCAGTGGGTAGATCTGAATAAGGGCATCAGATGTGCCCACCACTCTGCAGCTAAGGACTGCAGAGAAACCTCTCCGTGAGGATTCCAGTGCTTAGGTCCCAGGCCCCACCCCTCATGTATCTGTAAAATAGAAAAGGAGGAGGGGGAGGGAGAGGAAGAAGATGGGTAGGAGGGTAGGAGGAAGGGGAGGGGCACTTCCACCCCTTCTACTGCCTTAAGGATGTGTGCGGTGGACACTGGGGTGACTATGGAAGGAATACGCCTACCTGAGCTCACTCCCACCAGCATATTAGCCTCCATTACAACCACTAATTCTTTTGGTATTTTGCAACAGAGTTTCACTCCGTTGCCCAGGCTGGAGTGCAGTGGCACAACCATGGCTCACTGGAGCTTCCACCTGCGCACTCAACCAATCCTCCCACCCCAGTCTCTGCAGTAGCTTGACACCACCACACCCCGCTAATTTTTTCATTTTTATTTTTTGTAGAGACAAGGTCTCCTTATATTGCCCAGGTTGGTGTCAAACTCCTGGGTTTAAGTGATCCTCCCATCTTGGCCTCCCAAGGTGTTGGGATTACAGGTGTGAGCCACTGCACCAGGGCTTAGTGGGTCTATTTCTAGACCCTTTATTCTGTTCCATTGATCTATTTGTTTTGCTTGCCACAGACATCACGTTGTCTTGAATCCTATAGCTTAAGAAAAAGAAGCTGGTGTCATTCTTGCAGACTCTGTGCAGGATTGTTTGCCCTGTTCCAAGTTCTTTGCCTTTCTATTAAACTTTTAGGATCAGCTGGTCAATTTCTACAACAAAGCCTGCTGGAATTTTTATTAGAATAATATTGATCTTTCAGGAAGGATGGACAGCTTTATAATACTGAATCTTCCAATCCATGATCATGGTATATCTCTCTGTCTCAGTACATTGCGGCAGCTGTAACAAAGCATCTTTGACTGGATAGCTTACAAACAACAGAAATCTGTTTCTGGCAGTTCTGGAGGTTGAGAAGTTCAAGATCAAGGTGTCTGGTGAAGGCCCAGGCTCCCCAGCCTCTGGCTCCAGAACTTATACCTTTTGCCTGGTGTTCTCAGGCCTTTGGTTTGGACTGATGGTTTTACCATCAGCTTCCCTGGTTCTGGGGCTTTTGGACTTGGACTGAGCAACACTGCCAGCATCCCTGGCTCTCCAGCTTGCAGATGACTTGTAGTGGGACTCCCCAGGCTCCACAATTGACAGTGCCTTCTTGCTATGGCCTCACGTAACAGAAGTTACTAGATAGCTCTCTGCAGTGTCTTTCCCCGCCCCCCCCGCAAGACAGAGTCTCGCTCTGTTACCCGGGCTGGAGTGCAGTGGTGCAACCTTGGCTCACTGCAACCTCTGCCTCCAAGGTTCAAGCCATTCTCTTGCCTCAGCCTCCCAAGTAGCTGGGATTATAGGTGCCCACCAACACACCCAGCTAATTTTTTGTATTTTTAGTAGAGACAGGGTTTCACTATGTTGGCCAGGTTGGTCTCAAACTCCTGACCTCATGATCTGCCTACCTCGGCCTCCCAAAGTGCTGGGATGACAGGTGTGAGCCACCGCGCCCAGCCTACAGTGTCTTTTATAAGAAAACTAATCCCATCACGATGACTCCACCCTTATGACCAAACCACCTCCCAAAAGGCCTCATCTCAAAAAACCATCACCTTGGGGGTCAAAATTTCAACATATGAGTTTTAGGGGGACAGAAATATTTAGACCATAACACTCACAATGTGTTTACATTGTCTTTAATTTCTACCAGCTGTGTTTTGCAGTTTTCAGGGTAAAGGTCCTGCCCATCTGTGTTAGGTTTCTCCAGAAAAACAGAACCAATAGTATGGGTGGATAGATGGGTAGATGGAGAGAGAGAGAGAGAGAGAGAGAGAGATAGACAGGCAGACAGGTAGATAGATAGTTGAGAGGGGATTTATCAGGGGAATTGATTCATATGATTGTGGGGTCTGAGGAGTCCCCCTGCAGGCCGTCTGCAAGCTAGAGACCCTAGGGTGCTGGGAGTGTGGCTCGGTCCAAGTCCAAAAGCCCCAGAGCCAGGCAAGCTGGTGGTAGAAGTCTCAGTTCAAGGTCAAAGGCCTGGGAACCCAGAGGCAGGGGATGGAAGCCCTGGAGCCAAAGGCTGGGGAGGCTGACATTGTTGTCCACGGGCAGGAGAGGACCAGTGCACCCCAGCTCCAGCAGGGAGCTCCACACATTCACCTTTTCTCTGCCTCTGTTCTCTCCAGGCCCCCAATAACTGGATGATGCTGTCCACCCTGAGGGAGACTCTCCCCCACTAGTCCACTCAGACTCACACTAATCTCTTCTGGAAACACCTCACAGACACACCACAAACTTTATCAAGTTTCTAGGTATTTCTTAATCCAGTCAAGTTGACACCTAAAATGAACCATCACAAAACCTTCTGTTAAATTCATTCCTAAGTATTGTGTTTTTTGTTGCTACTGTAAGTGGTATTTTAAATTTTAATTTTCCTGTTGTTTCTTGCTAATGTATAGGAAAGCAATTGATCTGGTAATTGATTGTATACCCTTTGGCCTTGCTGTATTCACTTACTAATTCTAGTGCTTTTTTGTAGCTTCTTTGGGATTTTCTGCATATACATTTATAATCATATTGTTTATGAATCTACATAGATTTGCTTTTTCCTCTTCAACCTGTATGTCTTTTATTTCTTTTTCTTGCCTTATTGCATTGGCTAGGACCTGTGATACAGTTGGAGAGCACTTGCTGTGCCACATGGCAGAGTACATAGAAGGGTGACACCAGGAGGTAGGTTCAGAGGTCCCAAAAACTAAGTGTAGTACAGTCATCCCCTCTTATCTGTGGGGAATATGTTCCAAGACACCCAGTTGGTGCCTGAAGCTGCAGACAAACAGATAGATAGATGGATAGACAGATGATTGATTGATAGATATATAGATAGATAGATAGATAGATAGATAGATAAGAGGAGATTTATTAGGGGAATTGGTTCACATGGTTGTGGGGCTTCAGAAGTCCCACACAGGCCATCTGCAAGCTAGAGACCCTAGGGTGCTGGTCGTGTGGCTCAGTATAAGTCCAAAAGCTCCAAACCAGGGAAGCCAATGGTAGAACTCTCGCTCCAAGGTCAAAAGCCTGGGAACCCAGAGGTAGGGGGTGAAACCCAGGTTGTACAGAACACTATATATACCATGTCTCTTTTATCTGACTACCAAAAGGGCTACTAAGTGACTAACAGTGGCTAGTGCAGACAGCATGAATATGCTGAACAAAGGGACAATTCACATCCCGTGCAGGACAGAGCAGGACGGTGCAAGATTTCATTGTGCTTCTCACAGGGTATCCAATTTAAAACATATGAATTGTTTATTTCTGGACTCTTCCAGTTTATAATTTTAAAATGCAATTGACTGTGGGTAATTGAAATTACGGACAGTGAAACTGAGGATGGTGGAGGCTACTGTACATGACTTTCAGTTCCTGCTGACTTCTCTAGTTTCATTAAAGAGCAAACTCTGGCAGGATATGTCATATTTGTATAACACTTGAGAGCTGGGCTGGCTATGTAATTTGCAGGGTGCACTGGAAAATGAAAATGAGACTGCTTATTCATGAAACATGAAAAACCTTCTTTCCTTTTTTCCAAAGTCTGTCTCTGTCTGTGCCCTTGCCTCTGTCGCCCTTCCCTGCCCTCTCGATCTGTCACAGTGGTTTTCACGTGCAGTTTACTGTCGTGCTTCCTTGAGCACGGGAATACCTGCAAGACAAGGAGGGGTCTTCACAGGCAGAGGCGTCAGGGTCAGAACCGTGGAGTGGCCTTGGGTGAGTCAGGGCTGCAAGCCCCATTACTCCATTGCCCCACAGGGCTTCTCTTTCAAAGCACACATTCAATAATAAAATTGCTAAAATATCAAGATAATAACTGCAGAGCACTCAAAATGCAAACACTGTCCTCCCGAGCATGGAACCCTCTTGAGAAAAAGGCCCTCCTAAGCACCGAGTCCTCCTGAGCATGGGGTCCCCCTGAGCACAGAGTCCTCCTGAGCACAGAGTCCTCCTGAGCACCAAGCCCTCCTGAGTACTGAGCCCTCCTGAGCACGGGGTCCTCCTGAGCACCGAGTCCTCCTGAGCACAGAGTCCTCCTGAGCACCAAGCCCTCCTGAGCACGGGGTCCTCCTGAGCACAAAGCCCTCCTGAGCACGGGGTCCTCCTGAGCACAGAGTCCTCCTGAGCACGGGGCCCTCCTGAGCACGGGGCCCTCCTGAGCACAGAGTCCTCCTGAGCACAAAGCCCTCCTGAGCACAGAGCCCTCCTGAGCACAGAGCCCTCCTGAGTACCGAGCCCTTCTGAGCACAAAGCCCTCCTGAGCACAGAGCCCTCCTGAGCACAGAGCCCTCCTGAGTACTGAGCCCTCCTGAGCACGAGCCCTCCTGAGCCTCCTGAGCACAGAGTCCTCCTGAGCACCGAGCCCTCCTGAGCACAGAGTCCTCCTGAGCCCAGAGCCCTCCTGAGCACCAAGCCCTCCTGAGCACCAAGCCCTCCTGAGCACCGAGCCCTCCTGAGCACAGAGTCCTCCTGAGCACCGAGCCCTCCTGAGCACGGGGTCCTCCTGAGCACCGAGCCCTCCTGAGCAGAGTCCTGAGCACCAAGTCCTCCTGAGCATGGGGTCCCCCTGAGCACCGAGCCCTCCTGAGCACTGAGCCCTCCTGAGCAGAGTCCTCCTGAGCATGGTGTCCTCCTGGGGGTCTCCTGAGTGGCTCCCAATCATATACCTGCCTCACACACACCAGTGCCAAGGGCCTGCGTGCTTGGTGCCCTGCCAGGTGTCTGGGGCCCGCCTGCTATCTCGCACTCACAGCCTCACATTCACTTACAATGGGCCAGGCATTTAGCAAGTGAAACTGCGGCTCTGAGAGCTCAGAGAGCTTCTTTCACAGTAGCAGCTGCTCCCACAAGGGGTGGATTCTTTTCTCTGAAACAGGGCAGCGGAGACTAAATTATCTCTAACAATGGTGGGGTGGTGAGCAGTCTTTGCTTCAGTAATGGACATATGTATTCTGTACTCACTTTCATGGTCAAATGTTAAGCTGATTAAGAATGGTAAGGTGTGGCTGGGGGCGGTGGCTCACGCCTGTAATCCCAGCACTTTGGGAGACCAAGGC